GTTGTTCGTGCGTCAACCTCGTGCGCTTTCGCTCCATGAACTTTTGATCCTTAAATCTTTTCCGGCGCTATTCTCTAGATCGCTTTTCTCTGTTCAGCACGATACCGATGAAGACAAATCTAATCGACAACAAAAAGGATTTTCGGAACCATGCGTCGACCACCACCCGTGTGCCGTTTCCCTAAATGAGTCTCGCTGAGAGTGAAACAAACTAAAATGTTATCCGCTCTATAAGTTAGAGCAAGTTAGAGTTACACAAGAACGAGTACAAAGAAATAAAAAGTAAAAGAAATAAGAAGATAAGATATAAGTTAAGAGTCGTGCGACAACAAAAAATAAGATTTGAACTTTGCTAGAAATTTCTTTCGCACAATAAGTCATAAGCAATATCTATAGTTTTTAATGAAAAATCATTGCAAATTGTACTTCAATGAGAAAAACTTTGCTCTGATAAAAAAAAAAATTAAAAAAAAACAAGCGACGAAGTTAAGATAAATGAAGTTTCAAACGGACTTAAAGAAAATTAAAGCAAAAGCCTTTCGAGCTTCTTCGTTCAAGAAGCATGAAAGACCGAAAAGTCATTCATCCGGATCAAAGGCATGTAGATTACCGCGTTCGACGATCACGCTATGAAACAACGGCCATCAGAGATTGACTTTTATATGAGTTTACATCGTACACCGCATAAACGGATACAAAGAGCGGACACGTAAATTAAATTCTGTGCACTGCGCTATTCCAAGATAAATGCAAAACGTGCCGTGAATACGGATCAAATCTCGAAAGATCTTGGTTTCAACATTACGCGATGTGCTATTACTAATTTTTACGTTTTAACTCTATATTTTATGCAAAATATTAATTATAAATTACATTAATCATGTTCTGCTTGTTAGCTTACGCAATAGAGAGAGAGAGAGAGAGAGATTAGATTAGATTAGTAGCTTTATTTATAAAAGCGCTCTGGGAAGGACCCCTCAAGCGCGAGAATATACATAATAGAAAATAAGAAATATGAAATACAAAGATACAACAAAAAATAATAAAAATAAAAAATTAAAATAAAATAATGAATAGAAAAATAGAATAACAGAAATAATGAATAACAGAAATAAAATTAGACATAGATAAAATCAAAATGATTAAGAATTGTTGGACATTAAGAAACTATACAGACTATATTTGAAAATACAGAAAGGTTTTCTGCGGATATTGACCGGTATCGCGTTCCAAATTTCAACACACGTGCAACGAAATGAATGCCTATAGGTCTCAGTACGACACAGCGGGAGAACCAAGTCTTCCTATAAGGATCTTGTCGTGCGTGTGCTATCACGGGAGAGAGAGAGAGAGAGAGAGAGTAAAAACACGAGTGATTTGTAATGTAAACGACTTTCTGTTATTAATATTATTACATCTTTTTTAACTTTACTGCGGGAAAAAACTTCTGTGATAAATTTCACTCCGCATCCGCCCTGATAAATGCCCTTCGCCGATCGGCCGAATATTTACAACCTGTAAAAATATTTTAGATATGAAGTATTATATATGTGTGCGCGCTATTCGCATTCTCGCACATATATTACATTAAACGAGTTCGTGAAACAAAATGTATCAAAATATAAAGCAATGTGTCTAAATAATACAAATGTGTCTAATATAAATACAAATTTCATAATGGCTCAGTGGGCATGAAAAACCCGTACGCCAGTTATATATAGAAATATTTCTTATTAAGACAGATATATGTATGGCTGTATGGAGCAGACACGGATGTCGATATGTGAGTTCAAAATTTAGTTTATTTTAATAAACTGTACAGTACAAAGCTTTCGACCTTTGGTTTAGGTCTTTCTCAATGTAATACTACAAAAATGTTAACAATAATAAATAGTACGCAATAAAAAGAAAATTGTAATAGTAAGACTTAACAAAAAACTTACATTAGACTCGCAAAAAAGAAAAAGAAATAGTGACGGTCGTCGTTAAATGGTGATTAGTAGTCAGATAGTGAGACTAGAGGTTCGACCATCACTTTACAATATAAAGAAGCGACTGAAAAGGGCTGAGATTCAAAACGAAAATCAACGCAAACGATATTCCGTCACTCCCTACGTATAATCCCGTAACTCCAAAACGCAAATTTTAGAGGAGAGCAGTTTAAAAGTTTGAAGCTTCATATAGTTTCCCTAGTTAAGGGATCTTTCGGTTTTAAATTTTTACCTTACTTATGATTATTTTTTTTTAATACTTGGTGACCACAAAGAACATGACTTTCTGAGTGTCACTATGCAATAAACTGAAAATCCCATATGTGACACTTATGTAATTATACGTAGGGAGTGACGATTCGATCATGTGACGTTATTCAAACACATATATTATCGACAAATGGTAAGTAAGATCTATCAAGACTTTTTTTTTCAAACTTCATTATTAATTATCGTTGGCGGAAATATTTCTTATTCGCGACGCGATTGACGTGTCTAACGTAAAATGAGTGATAACACAGTACATGGAATAATGACAAGGATGCGTCATGTAAGTACAACTTTAAAAAGAAACATAGCGGATTCTTCGCACGTGTAACAAAAAATACTATTCCATCAAAATACACACACATACCTGGTCTCAATACAAATGTAAATCTACGGTGAATAAGCAGAATGACAATAAAATTTCGATACGAGACCGAAGTTGCCGGTACTTTACGTTGCAATCTATTGCATAGCGCAAAACATGGTGGAGCCGCGTGAAGTACAAATCAAACTGCGCTCATTTTCAGTTTTGCCGCGAGAGGCGCCACGAGCAACACAAGCTTCGGGCGAGAAAGTTAACAGTCGATAAGAAAACTCTAAATACAACCGGAAAGTTTTCACTCTTATCGATTATCGCTTGTGAAGATAAATGTTTTTTTACAGTTTCTTTCCAATATTATATATATTTTTATAAGAACATAAAAGTAAATGACATAAAAGTCATATATCAATATAGTAATATATTTTTTTGAATATATTACTATACTCGATATTTTAAGCTAACGTCGTTGTTTTGTCGACTTGAAAATGTTGTTTTGTTTTTGTTGCGCATACATATGTGTAATTGCCTTATCATAGATCGGTTGAGGTTGTAATTATAATATTTATATAATCAATGTGTGCGAATAAAGACCTGTGTACACGATCTGAAAAATTAATCAGAGAAATTGGTCACAGTTATTAGAACTCGCGGAGAGACATACAGACACAACTTGCATGAAAATTTATAATCAAGTGATAGCTTTTCTATTCAAGAGAAGCTTGAATCACGAGATTGTTGACCGAGTTATTTACCGTGTACGCAGGCCTTCAATAACTGTGCAAATATTATCGCAAGTCAGAAACACGAACACGGATATAAATGCATAAGAGAAGAAGCTTGTAACCATTTGCTATAAAATTTCCGTCTCACTATCTATATACATAGCATTTGTGGCAAGCAAACAAAAGTACCAGGAAGAAATTATAACACATTTCAAAGAAAAACTGTGAAGAGATGATTTTTATATGAATAACGCATTTAACTTGAAAAAAACCTTGACATTTTTACTTATATAAATATATATAATATTATTAAAAAACTTCAATTATATTTAATATTTATTAATTTCTACTTGTGAGACAGTTGTCAATTATGTATATAAAAAATATATGTGCACACTTTCATACAAAGAATTTACAAAAATAATATTTAGAATATCTAATATAAACTGCTATTACGCACATAAATTCCTTACAACATATATATAAAGAAATTGGATATATATAAAGAAAACTTGGCAAATTATCTTGTTATTATCATCGGTTTTATATATAATACTTATATGTATACTGATCAGTATACATATCATAATATATATGTATATATATATATATACATATATATATATATTATTGATCAGTATCAATACATATATTTATATTATTGATTTATGTTAAGCGTAAATACTATTTTTCAGCTGTATTTTCTACGACCGATATATTTAGCTTTATCTAATTTTAAATATTACGTCCAACGTGTACACAACACAAAACATGTGTTTTATTACGACGTTCGACTTTTTGTTAATCTCGAGAACCTTGTTCTTTATGCATTGTAATAAATATAAACCGCATAAGTATATACATGTGTGTATTAAAAACATATTTTACATATTTTTTTGTCGTTTCTTACAAAAGTGCGATTGCTATATTCAGAGTCAACGGTGTTTTGTATGACATTTTCTTTGCCGAAGCCAACTTCTTTCACGACATACTGCTTATCAAATCCAAGATAAATGACGCTCCCCCTCTTTCTTCTACATTCCACGATGTATGTATGTAGCAAAAAGAAAAGATAAAACCAAGATATATATTCTACATCTTATTCTATGTATTGTGTTAAACTTTCTTTGAAAGTTATTGAAAAAAATGATTCATCTGCTTACTCATTGCTATTGACTAAATTTATCAAAAGGGGGAACCCGGGTGAACAGCGGCTCTAAATTGGACAATCATCCAACCGACAGCTGTTGCGTCGACGCCGCGGAAAGCGATCAGCTGTTAAGTCGTGTGCGCGCGCACACGTGATCTAGGGATCTTTGCGACGACACGCGTGTCGGACTGCAGCGCGGGACAATTCGAAGCGTTCCCGTTTGCGACGGAATAAGACCGTGTTTCAGAATCGCCGATCGAATCGTCGCATTTGCTCGCATCCGGATGCGGAATGGCGTGCGCGACACGCGCATAAATCTGCAGAATCGGAACGCAGTTATCGCGTCGGCAATTGCATGACGTTTCATTGAAGAGGTTGTCGACGAAAGATCGAAGCGTTGCGGTTTCCGAAGCAACGATCGCGCGATCCGCATGATTGTTGTGTGTTTCTATTCGATCCGTAGTTTCCCGTCGGTGTTTCCGGATGCTTTGCAGGAAGCGAACGAAACGAGCTATCGAGCGAGTGAGAAATCACGAGAGCGAACGCAGGGAGAAGCGAGAGAGCGAACGGACGTCACACGGTATTCTACGAGAATTTTCTCTCACGTGGGCCGTGAGGTCCCGTGTGTCAAGCGTGCGCGTTGGTGTAAGCGAGACGAAAACCGAGACGAAAGGGGCCGAGAGCAGACGCAAAAAAAGGACGGAACGAGACGAGTCTCAAACGTAGGAGCGAGACGGAAAGAGCAACACAAGAGCGAGCGAGCAAGCGAATCAAACGGCGTGGAGCGCCAGTACAGAGCGCAGTCTTTATCTGCGCTTGTATTATGCTCTGTTGAGTGAATTGTCAAGTGAAATCAGAAATGGCTGCCAGCGAGCAACAACGTAAGGTGAGTGCGAGCGAGCTGCGAGGAATCCGCAGCGCGGATTAATTTTCCGTCGACGGGAACGACGTGCGGATAAACGTCGACGGGCGATACCGGGCGCCGAGCGCTTGTTCCTCGTTGATTCTTTAGAGTGAAACGTGCGTGTGCGGCGTGTCGCTTTTGTGTCAAAAAAATCACGTCTGATCACACGTAGTTTCCGTGCGTGCACGCACATGATACGTCTGACGACGACGCACAAACGGACAAGGGATCGCGATCATCGGCGATTCGTCAGGTCGGCGGTGTGAACGGCGCACGATCGTTCCGGGATAAAGCGAGTAGGTGCGCGGACATTCCCCGCGCGCACCGCATTCCCGGATAATCGTCCGTCTTCATTCAAAGATCGCGCAGTCGGTCGTCGTATTTACATCGGTCAGCCGAGCAGCTGTCAGTGTTGGACTACGGTGGTGTGCGGGTGCGACGTTGTGTGACAGGCACGAAAATGCACGACGATCACGGTGACGATGTGAGTGCGCTCGAAATCCACGGGTCCATTCTCCGTTCGTCTTTAATTTTTTCTTTTTTTCTTTAACCGCGGTCATGCAGCGGGGACACCCCCCCGCAAAACTTTGCTGACGATGCAATCAAAGCAGCGCTGTGCAATGTTACATTCAACGCAACGACGTTATGACAGCGCTACGAATTCTCGTCGAACGGGTTTTCTATCTGTCTGTCTGTCTGTCTCCGCCGTCCCTTTTTTCCTTGCCTTCTTCCTTGTGCGTTTTCGCTCGAGAGAGAATTTCTACCGTGCACGTTTACGCGAATGATCTATGGCACAAAGAAGAAACGAGCTTTTCTAGGAGGGGGGGAACATTCTCGATGCTTATTAAAGCGATTTTGTCATTTATTTCTTTTCGACGCAGTCTTCGCGGAAAACAACATATGCGACCGTTCTCTTCTCGACGCCGTTTCCCGGCGTTGTACACGTTCCCAAATGCGAGATGTCTCATCGGGAAATCTCGACGATAAATCTATTGCGTTGATATGCGGAAATATCGACGAAAAACAGTTCTCGTTTTGAATAAATCAATCGCTCGAGTTGTAATTAATTAACTTTTAACTGCCATATACCGGATCTCTTTTTTTTGTCTCACGGAAGTCACGTTTGATAATCGGGGGGAACTCCGTTGTCTCTTCTATCAGGCTTTGTGTCTCTTGCTTATCGATAAGCATCGAAGCGTTTTTTTTTTTTAAACTTTGCGACGACGAATCGATTGCGCTTACACGAAACGTACGAGCGATCTTCGTGTTTCGTCGGGCATTGTTAATTGCCGCACGCTACATCATTCGCAAACGCGAACACATTCCCTGTCAAAAAACATCGTGTCATTGCGGATAAGCGCGAGCGTGAACGTGCGGATGATTTGCATGAGAGCTGCTTGTTTGTCGGTTTCAAGGCATGCGGAATTTTCTCCAACGATTTTCGCGACACGAAAATACGTTCGTCGGATTTGTGGATTCTCTTTTTCGTTTCGTAAACATGTTGAGACATATGTCGCAATTGTTGCACATATGCATGATCCATTTTGTATATGTCTCAGGACTAGTTTTTCTTTCACGCGTGACGAACTTTCTCATTTATTTTAATCGCACGACGGCGATCGGGAATCGAAATCTGGTTCTCTTAGATCCTTGAGTTTATTTTTCCCCCCTCCTCCTCTTCCTCGTCGGACCGAGTCGATCGGCCAAATTATAGATGTGGATCAATGTCGAGTGTAAAAGTTTAAACAAGCGATATGCGACCTCAGATACTGACAGCCTGTGTGTCACTTTAAGGTTTCACCAATACAACAACATGGCTACTTACGGCTATGATGTAAAACTTGATGATAATACACGCCGAGAATATTTCCTAATACAGGGGAGAGAGAGAAAGAGAGGGAGAAGAAGGGAGAGAGAAGGAGAAGAAAACATTTTTGTAGCCTGTTTCTCGTAGAAAACTTGTTACCTGGAATATTCTGGATCGCGCTTACGAAAATAGCATCCTATACAATTTCATGTCATCAGAAATTATTTATCAATTGAGATTAAATTAAAATTGATACACAATACGTACATATTATTGCAATCGGAGAGCAAGAGATACGTGATGCCAAATAATTTTGTGTGTTTAAAACATTCTTGAACTGAAGATAAGACACACACACAAACATTTGACTTTGTTGTTAAATGAAATGTTAATTACAGTAATTATAAAATCATAAATATGAATAGTTAGATATGCTAAAAAATGATTAAGACTGATGAAATTTATGTAGTCATTTGTTCTGATTATAGCATTGCACTCATAGATAAAATATGTTAAACCACACCCACTTTAAAGGAAACAGAATTATTATGTTTCTTCTCTCTATTATTAATTCTTTCTCTCTTTTCTCTCATATATTTCTGTAATTTACTTGATTGTAGAATTATAATTAAATGTATTATATGAGAAATTGTTTTGCAAATATGTAGGAAGCGAGTGAAGCACGGGAACCAGCTCATCATGCAAGACGTCCCATGAATGCATTTCTGATATTTTGTAAAAGACATCGGGGCTCGGTGCGATCAGGTTTTCCACACTTAGAAAATAGAGCAGTCACGAGGGTCTTGGGTGAATGGTGGGCAACTCTTCAGCCTGATCAAAAACGTTCCTACATAAATCTTGCACAGGAGGTAAATATAATTACAACAGAAGAATTATAGTGATCAGTTGTTGAGTAAATAGATAATCTTACACTGTTAAAGATGAAATATCGTTACATTCAACATTTATTGTATGTTTGTACATCCTCATACTATGATTCCTTTGTTAAGGAATTTTCAAGAGAAATTGAGATAACGTGGGACAATTATTCTTTCAGTAGAAAGATGCATTTCTAAATGTAATGCCTGACAAGTGGTACAAACTACCCGCGTGTCCATTGCGCACTTTACCTGAATATGAGTCTTCCGATTGTACAAAGTCAGATAGACGAGACGGACAATCAATTCAACCAGGCAAACTAGCGGACGAATCGCAGATTGGCGGGCTGAGTTCTCTTTTTACTCCTCAGAAAACAGAGATACCTGACGAACAGGCAGTTAATGGTATTGCGACGGAAAGTGACGCCGTTCCAAAACCACCGAAAAAACGATACACAGAATTACCTTTCCAAAATGAAAATCAGAAGAAGGATTGCAAAGCAGATCTCTTTGGCGAAAAGAAAAGAAAAACAGCTGAATCCAATAACAACGAACAACACGAAACGGTAAGAATTGATCAATTATGTGATAATATAGGCATGTGATGTTTTTAAATTGACTCATACAATATTATCTCAGTTTTGTTTGTGACATTTTTGTTTTAGATAATAGAAGATGAAAAACATGCAATAAATCCATTTGTGACGCAACCAGAGGAAAACAATTTTCGTGGAGAAAGAACATGTAAAGGTTTACGTTATCAGAAATTCCTTGCTGAACAGATGAAGAATATTGGCCCATCTAGTCAACAAGGCAAACGGAAACGAACAACTGGAAGTCATGGGTAATAAAGAATTATAATTTTGTCGTACTATAAATCGTAAGCCTGTATAATTTTTGCACTAAAGATCTACTTTTTGTTGTTCTAGACTTGAAGAACGTTCAAATGAAAGGAGAAATTCCATTTCTTCAAACATCAGTGAAAAAACAGATTCCTTGAGCAGTGAAGGAGGAAATAGTTCTCGTGGAGAACTAGAACATCTGGTAGAAAGGTGATCTCTACTTCTTCTATTTTATCAGATTCTATATTTTGAACATATGTTAATATTTCTTTTATATGTCAAAAATTAGCGCTGAAGGAAACATAGAGGCTTCCAAACCTGAAGACACAGAAACTGAAGAAGCTGAAAATCAGACGGATTATGGATCTTGGACACGTAAAAGATTTCGAGCCGAGTACGTATTCCGCATATGACTTTTTTGATTTTAATATTTTAATTTTAGAAAAATACTTTAACAATAATGAATAATTTCTTCAGAGACTTTAATTTGGAAAAAAAGATCGAAGCCTTGCCATCTTTAAGTTTAGAGGAGTTTCAAGAAAAGAAAAAACAGCAACGTACGAAAAAAAAGAAAATTCTTCAAAAATTCAACTCATCGACAAACAAAAAATATCAAAATAATCCAACTAATAATCAGATAAATGGCCAGAATCGAAGAGCGAACACAAGTGAGAGTTTAGAGGAATCAGAGAAAGCCCATCTGGTTGGGAGCCAGAAACGAAAAGCACGCAAGCAAAATATCACACGGAATACTGGAGCAATAAATTCCGCTAAACATTCTGAGGATCAACAACCAAATAAATGTAAGTATATATTTTCTTCTAACAAATTTAAATAAAAGTCATATAACATGTGCTTTAATACATTCGACAAAAAAGATCTTTAATTTCAATTTAAACTTATAACTCCATTTCATAAAATGTATTTCTACAATATTTTCTTCTTTAAAAATCTCAAAATTTAATATTATGATTTTTTTAACACTATAATATGATAAAATATATCCGTTATATAACGTGATAAAATATATCCGTTATATACGATAATAAAATATATCTGTTCATATCACATTTTAATTAATGTTACACATAAAAAATAGCTTGGTGCGCATCTCCGGATCTTGAAGCTCTAGCGTGTCTCGCAACGGTTGCCGCTAACAGAACAAAACTTACCAAAAATAACGCTTAATAATATTATTCATCAATAAGAGTCGATAGCAAACTACGCTACAGAAGATCGCACTACAAAAACCAAAACTTTATTACGTTTTTTCCACACAATTATATTTTTCCTATTCGGAATTATATACATCCAAACATACTTCTCCAAGTGCTGTTATAAATGATACTTCTCAGTATCGATAACAATTCTTATTATTGATATATATTTATATATATATATATATTATATTATTACTCTTTATATATTATTACGGATATTAATATTACGACTGCTGTTTTGACTGTAGACTATTCCATTATTCACAGATAGTAGGTATATGAGGACAGTGTGTTTTTATTCAAAGTAAAAATTTTTTACTCGTAAGGTAGCGAGATAAAAAGATCTTTTTATCTTTATTCTATAAAAGTATGTTTCGTAAATAGTCGTTTTTTCAATTATGTTTACAAAATGCATATAATTTTATTCACGTTGATCCCACGGTTAGTTTGTACATATAAAACAGAGTTAATTTATCTAGTACAAGATAATCACTTATGTTAATGCAAACAGTAAATTTTATTGTATGTTATATTAAGATTGCAAAAGTAATTTTAACTTTTAGTTAGTTTCTTCTTCTTTATACGCCAAATCTAGAGCTTTTGTGAGAATGTTCATAGAATCATGATAAAAGCCAACAATAAATCTGATTAGATAACGTGAAGCTGTGAAGTCTGACTAGTATGAAAAACATTGAGTCAAACAAAGTATATAAACACGGAACGATTTATATATTAGTTTTTTATATAGAAGATTTATATAAAGAGTTTTATTTTTTATTCTTTCGTAATTTGTTGGTTTTATTTTATACGAAGAAAAAATAAGACAATTTTTGTAATTTAAGTTACGATTGCACTAGATGAACGCTTCGTCGCGAATCGTAATACTTGAAGAGAACTCAAAGTTTTCGATAATGTATAATGTATAGACACGAAAACATTGACTTTATATTCTATCGGCGTTTGATGTACATAGGTATAGGTGCAGTATTATTGATAAGAATACGAAAGATAATATGGAATATCCTTCACACGATACAGCGTGAACATCAAAAAAAGGGTATAATCAAAATGAAGTGGATATACATACATATATACGCGAGACCACTATTATTTATATATGTTGTACATGCATACGAATAGACGCGTAAGATTTAAACATGTATAAATTTTCACGTATGTACACGAATACGCATGAATATATCTTTATATTGTAATACATGTATATCCGTATATGCATGTAATAGAGTGATAAGACTACATATATATGTGAATGTGTATATTTATAATATTTATATCAATTATATATATCTATTATTGTATATCTAGCGGTTAAGATCACAAGGATATGTGTGCGACTTTGTGCTCTGTTTGAGAAAGTAAGAGATTTGTCTGTGATTTTGCGCGCGAGACTAAAGGAGTTTTTAATATTTTATATTTTTCTATATATAATAATATCTTTTTATTTGTTTTTTCCTTTTCTCTCTACAAAGAGAGAGATATGCAAAACTTTATTTTCTCTTTTATTTTCTTTCTTTAAATGTATATACATATATATATATATATATATATGATATAAAATTTATTTGATTAATATTTACCTTCGTGGACATACATATTGTTTATAAAACAAAAAAAAGATCGAAGGTTAATAGGTTTCTCTGTAGTTTGCAAAGGAATGTACTGATTATATTTCAAATGTGCCTTGAAGATATATGAAAACATAGTGATTAAATAACCGACCAACAATATATTTTCGATTCATTTCACTCTTCTGATCGCATTTTAACTTTTACATTTGTACCTATTGTGTGTGCAATGTGCAACTGTGCTGGTACAGAATTTTACAATTGGGCCAATGTATAAAGATCGCATTATTAACGAAATCAGGGGAAAAAGTTTCGAATTTTACTGCACAAAACATCTATGTACCTTAGCTTTAAAAGAATGTATGTAATTTACACGAGTCTCTATATATGTGTACATATTGTATACCATTTATATGAATAATAAAGATATATAATATTTTGATGTAATACGTGTGCATTTTAAATTCTGAACTTTTTAGTTGTCATTTATTTTTCGTTACCTATATGAACTTTTTTAAGATATCTTTTTTTCCAAAAGAGCGGAAATAAATACTGCGCACGCTACATATCTTCGTATTTCGTATTTGTGCAGTTTTTTTAGAATTAAATCTAAGAACCAGCCTTATCTTTGTGACAGAGCGTCAATTATGATTGGTTACTTTCAGTTGATCAACCGACATGATTGTTTAACTCTAACGGAATAATCGACTCGATTAAAATTAATAAAAAATGACGACATTGCTTCTAGTTAATTACATTTAAACGCAATTTTGACATGTTTGCCAAAAAAATACTCATTGTGCCAATCTAAAAACATCTGTAGGAAAAATCTCCATGATAGCCAACTTAATTGTTAAAACGCCAAATCACCCTAAACATTTATATTTATCAACAAGGTTGGGCCACAGTATATACAGTAGCGCAACTCCCTGTCGGCACCTTTGATGTCAGTGAAGCCAGCAATAACGCGCATGCGCGAAGTTGGCTAGTTTAAGGCTTACCTACAGTTAGATGCAGACGTGGATCGCGAACTGA